AGTTTTCTTCTTCTGGAAAGATTGCTTATTAAAAATTATTTTAATAATTGATGCAATGGAATTTTTGTGAAAAATTAAAATTTTTTCTTCAGTTCAGTCAATGTTTAAAATTTTGCTTAAAATTTGTTTGAAAAAAAAAATTTCTTCAATTCAATTAATATTTCTTTAAAATCTTAAATTTTTGTTAATTTACAAATGTTGCTTTTGTTTTCTACCGAAATGAAATAGCAATTAGTAAATAAATTTAAGTTTTAGCATATTGAGATCAATGTTGAATGATAATAAATAGATGAACTGTCTGCACATAAATTTACATTTTCATCACAAATCACAATATATCATTCACCATTTGACCATATGTAAAATTATATTTGTTGTTTTGTTTCTTTTTGTCAGAATTTCAGATCAAATGATAAATTAGACTAAAAATGATTTCTTTGTTCTCAATAAATCCCAATTTTACCAGATAGCGTTTTAAATAATTCATTAAGTATTCTGAAGATAAAAGTTGATGTGAAAAAAAAAATTTTTTTTTTTGTTTAAACTGTGAAGATACCAATATAATTTTCCAGGTAGGTTATTTTTTTTTTTTTGTTTAAAAGTTTCATTGGTTGTGCAAAAAAAAATAGGAAAAAAGAAAAAGGAAGGAAAAATGAATTTCAAATTAGCGTACTCGCAGGCAATGATGTTATCACAAAACTTTTCGGATTGTTTTTTTTTAATCTTTTTTTTCTCAATTTTTGCTTTTACTAAAAAAAAAAAAAATTATGATCGAAGTAACTTTAAGGATGATTGTTGTTTAAAATTATCAAATCTAACTTGTAAATCTTCTCAAATCAGATGAATAAACTTGTAAATCGTAAAATGTTTTAATATACGTCAATATCATTAAATGTTTACAATTTCATCTCGTTGTAGGAAAATTATCATGCGCATTTCTGTCGATGTCACACCAGAAATACATTACGTTATGAAATATTCTAATTTATAAAATTGGGATAATAGATGTGACAGTTGACAGGAGGAAAAAGAGAGGAAGGAAGAGGAAAAGAGAAAAATTATAGCTGAATAGTAAGAAAATGATTGTTGATTGTGATAAATGATACATTTGGTTTATTTTCATTGAATGGTGGACAATAAACAAGAGAGGACGAAGAAGAAGAAGAAGAATGCAAAAATATAATAATGACTGATAATATAAATCAAAAATATGCAAATGAGTATAAGAATAAGGGACACGTGGTGAATGGCCACGGAAATTTTAGGCGGAAACATTTTTTGATACGCTTCACATATGGCGTTGTCCCTTTAGTTGAATGTTGAAGACACCAGATGATTCTGGTTCTTTTTATGGTATTGTAATTTCCTTCTTTTAATATCAATAAATTTAATTTTTTTTTTCAAAAAAAAAATCAGCATTATTTTAAAATTTTCATTTTCAATTATCCCAATAACAAATTGATTGAAAGAAAGAAGAAATTAAATTAGGATCAGATTAGAAAAAAAACAAACAAACAAATAAAACTATAATTAAGAAATCATAGTGCATATCTATTATTGTTAAACGCAAATCATCTTTAAAATGAATGGTGTAAAAACAAAAAAAAAAAGTGAAGTTCATTATTTTGTTATAAAGTTGTAAAGTTCATTATTTTGTAACGAAATAAAAAGGCTATTGTAACGATTAAAACCATATTTCAAAATTAAAGTACATTTGAATTTCTATTTCTATGATAATCTTTTACCTGTTTAAAATTAATTTCAAAAAAAAAATATATATATGTATACATAAAATTATCCTCTCTCGTTTTTTCTTCCCCCTTTGTTGCTTTCTGATTAGCAACAGAGACAATAAACACAATATTTGAGCATGTCGAAGACATTCGATATAGACATCACCATGGGTTGCGATTTTTTAAACAATTTCCGGTTCTCACACATTAAAAAGCTTGGCGAACCGTTAACCGTTAATCAGTGGAAATTGTTGACTGCTAATTCGTAGTAGTTTTTGAATACTGACGAGATGATGAATGTGTCAACGGGATAAAAAAAGGGGTGAGGATAGAAAAAAAAACGGAATAGAAGGGAAAGTTTTTTTTTTTTTTTTTTGCACAATCACTATGATATCAATAATCAAGTTTCGTTTCCGATAATTTATTGGAAATAAAATTGATGAGATTTTTGCATATACGGAAAGAAACATGAATAAATGACGATCAATTATGTATTCGGATGAATTCCTGAATTATTACTTTCAAGTATTTACATTTAATGAATATGCTAATAATATTCAGATTAAAATTTTAATACATAATTCGGCGTATAATTCGAAGAAAATTTATTTCCCATCTTTTCTTTAATATGTGTATGTAAAATTTTATGTAGTTATGCATAAATTTTGATAGCCATAATTTTTTTTTTAAATATTCAATTATTTTATAATAAAATAAGTTATCAATTGAGGAAATATTAAATTACAGGAATAAAGGTAAAAAAAACACAAACACATACATACACATACATTAATTGAATGAGATAATATATAATATGCTAATTAAATCTAATAAGCAAAATAAAGTACATAATTTCAAGTTTAATCCAAATAAATTTTTGAATTTTTTATTTAGATAAAAAATCAAAAAGTTTGATTTTTTCTGCGTGAAATTTTTGCGCTACGAAAATAAAAGTTTGATTTTTTGCGTGAAGTTTTTGCGCTACGAATGGAATGAAAGGGAGACCAAATAATTAATTCATTATTGCTGATAAAATTGTTTTATATCTATTTTTTGTTTTACAAAACTGGTGCAAATAGAAAAAAAAGTAGAACGGAAAAAGGAAAAAAAGAATGACGAAAAAATAGCTTAATTAATTTGCAGAGAATTCATTTCAAAAAAAAGGGGAGAAAAAAATTGTGCAATAACAAATTCTTCTTGCTAACCAATACAAATGTTGATATGAGGGGAACACTTTTTTTTTCTCTTTCTTTTTTAACATTAATATTTGAACATTTCAAAGGCAATTCTATATCATTTATTCAATTTACAAGTGTCAAATAATGAAATTCAGGAATGATTAAACAATTGTTTGTTTCAATTCTTTTATAATAAACCCTACAAAAATGAAGTTGTTGCAAGCATCTGCCAAAACAAATGATATTTGATATATGCATCAAATAAATATACATTTATTATAACCCGAAAAACATAAACCATAAATAATAATGTTAGAGTTAGAATTAATATGAAATTGAAATAATGTTTTTGAAAGGAAATAAATCGGGAATAGAAAAAAAAAGAAGAGAAGGAAGAAGGAGTAAAATCTATCAATATCACAAATGAAATATACCAATATACGGGCAAAAGTTTAGGAGATAAAAAAGAAGAAAAAAAAGCATACCATGCTATTAGTAGTATAACTAATATCAATAGAGAGCTTGTATGATTGAAGACCGGTTTGCCTCCGGTGATAATTACCGCAAAGTGCTGCTTTGCGGATAGAAAATAAACAAGCGACATAAAAGATCTGACAATAATGAATGAAGGAAAAAATCAGTATATGTTGTTCACTTTAGTGATAATCGCTGATTGTTACATATTCATTACAAAAAAAAAAAATGAAAAAAAAAGGATAGCAACTATTTCAGCTATTAGATAACATTTATAAATAAACAGATTTGGAAAGTTCCTTTTTTTGAAATTTAAAGTTTAATACTAAGAATAGAAAAAGAACTCGAAGTTTTCACTCAATTTAATTTTATAAATTAGTTTAAAATAACGAAAATTAAAGAAAAAATTTTTTTATAATGAGGTGATAATCCTGGAATAATTAGTTGTCCACGCAAAAAAAATCTTTGCTATTCAAATTTCAAAATGATAAATACATATAATGATCCATAATGATTGGTGATATATTTTGTTCATAGAATCACGCTGAATGATAACATCACCGGCTGCAATATTAATGTAATGTTTATAATTTTATCAAGAATTTATAACTTCATAAGAAAATTTTTTTAATAAAAGTTAAAATTTTTTTGTTTGTGTGATAAAAAATTGATCAAAATTTAATGCAAATGAAATAATTTGAATCTAATAAGGTCAAGAAATTTTGATTTAAAACGAAAATAAGACAAAAGAAATATTAACTTTATGATCGCCCATGCATACATCTTTCCCAAAACTATCATATTTGGCAAATTCATCTCGTTTAACCATTTCTAAAGCTCGTGCATTCATGAGCACACGATCACACCATGCTGGCGCACGTGTCTTCATCAACGATTCCGATTCATCCGGATTTTCACTCCATGGATATCTTTAAGCATAAAACTTCGGAAAAAAAATTTTCTTGACATATAAAAAAATCATCCATTAATTACAGGTGTGGGGGAAATCCTTTAAATATTTTTAAATATCAGTAAGTGTACTGTGTAATATCGCATCAAGTGAGTACTGTATTGCACAGTATCACATGAGTACTGTGTTGTACCGTATCACGTAAGTACTGTGCAGCACCATATCACGTGAATACTGTGTAGTACAGTATGAACTGGAGTACCCAGACGGAGTCTACTTTTGGAAGAATGAGTACGATAAAAAAAGGGATGGATGATTTGAAGAAAAAAAATGTTTAATCAAATTTCTCGAATCACAATGAAATATCATGTTAGAAAAATTTTAAATAACAATTGAACATACGTAGGTGGAAAATTGATGCTAAGTTCACGCAAGTATGGGAAATTATGTACTTCTCGATCATCTTCCAAATAACCTTGCCATTCATTTAATAATCGCTTGTGATTAAAATAATCGAAGAGTTTCTTTTCAATCCGAAGTACACAGCTAAATCAATGATCAAACGATAGTTTTGCTTAATTATAAAATTCTAAATTCAAAATCTCACCACAAAACTTAATAATAATTACTTTCACTTTATATTTTTCATATGTAATATTACTTTCTCTCTATATTCAGAATTTCAAGCATAACGTATCTCTCAAATTGAGCTTTAATATATTATAGCAATTAAATTGTATATACACTACAAGATAATAATGAAGTATGATTTTTTTTTTAAAAAAAAATATATTATGAAATTTATAAAGTCCTAATAGCTTCATTACTGTATTATATCGACGATTTAATTAATATAATAAAATTGATACTGATACTATTTGATACTATTTAAAAGTCTGTAAATTGAAATAAAAACTTAATTATAGCTGAACTCCATACCTTCAACTCACCTGGTTGGAATATCACTAGTAAAATTATCAGGTGATCGTCGGAATTCAATCGCTGATACAGTTCTTCTAAAACTTGTTAATGGTTTAAGCTCATTTGTATGTGGCGAACCAGGTGTTAATAGATCGCCGCATCCATCAGTATTGCATATGCTTGATTGAGCTGATTCTGTTGAATCTTCTCGTAAATCAGTATCGTCTGTTATGCGCTATAATAAAAATTTCAGGATAGGTACTTTTTTTTTTCAGTAATTCTAAAAACAATTTGATAGGATAATTTCTTCGAGTATTCATTTAAAAATTTTTCAGGCAAATTTAAACCTGATTGTTTATAAAAATGGAATTTTTGCAAAATTCTATAAAACAACAAAAATTTGAGAAAAAATGACGAATTTTCAGATCGAAAATTTCTAAATGAATAATTCAGACTGATGACTACATTTCATTATACTGCAAGAGAATTTAGCAAAGAATTTATACTGAAATAATGAAACACTTTCAATCAAATTTCGAACGATGCTTTAAATATTATCAAATAAAAACTAACATTCAAAAATGATTGCAAATCGAGCCGAAAATTCAAATCACCAAATAAGAAAAGCGGATATGAATAATTTTCATCTTCATTGACCCGTTTCAATTCTTTCAAAACGAAATTTAACGCTCGTTTTCGATTTTCACTATAGAGTGCAGGATTCTGCAAAAAAAAAAAAAATTAACAAATTCTTCATCATTTCTGTTAATGTTATGATAAATTGAAAATCTTATTCCTTGATCTACTGTTAATTTGCAATGAATTATCTATTGTTAATTTGCAATGAACTGCTCTTTTTTTTCAGAACTTATACTTTTAAATATACATGTAAGTTAATAAAAACAAACCTCATGTATGAGAGCAATGTTGGACTCATCGTGGAATAAGTGTACATTGACAAAATCGAACACACTGAAAAGTTTACATGTGTAGATAAATTTAAATTTATGAGAAATTACGGGAAGTAAGTTTTTCTTATCTTCATAATATTCAGTATTGTCCTTGTGAATATTGGATAATCTTTTAATTTACTTCTTTTTTTAGTATATTAAATTAATAATTTTACACATGATTTAATCACTATACGGAATCAATCTCTCAAAGTTTATAAGCTTATCCGAAAACATATATTTCATTCATTTAAAGATAAGATATTATTATATAGCAAATAAATTAACGTTTGATCTATACGAAATCGGCAATGCATATATCCTTTTCTGCTCCATTTAACAGTTGGCCAGAAATCTTTTGGAAATTTAGCTTTACGCAACATTCGACACTTCAGTAAACCACGATCATATGATTCGAAAACTTTTTCCAATGTAACAAATTCCTTCGTCATAAAGTCATATTGTCGTATTCGCGGTAATGTTACATCATTAATGAAAAATAATGAACCAAGAGCCTACAAACAAATATATATTTGCTGTATAGTTATTTCGATTATGCAGGCAATAATTTTGTTAAAATTATTTTGCAAAATGGAAAAGGGCATTTTTTTAGTACTAAATACGTGAAAATTTTTTAAAGTTTTCTAAAATTTGATAACAAATATAATCATATTATAGGATGTTTTAAAAAAAAAAAATTCAACTGTGATTCAAAANNNAAAAAAAAAAAAAAAAAGAAGCACAGTTATATTTTGCTCGAAAAAAAGAAGAGAGCATACATTGTAACTTTCAGGTAGATCAAATTCAAGATCCAAATAGGCACGACCAGTTGAATATCCCATTTCATGCATGCTAGCTGCTATATGATCCAAAAAAGCTGGCACTTGACCGATACATTCCTCAGAATTTTTTCCACCAACTTCTTGCATATGTATGGCAATAAAATGTGCATTGCTTTCTTTGATGATCTAAATTTTGCATTAGAAAAAAGATTTCATTTTAATGTTAAATTTCTATAAATTTATATGAAATATAAAAAATAAATTCCATATCACAAATTAACAAGATATATGGTAATTGATGATGGTAATGATAACTGACGATTATGATGATGATTGATAATGATGGCTGATGATGATGATGATGACTGATGATGATGATTGATGATGATGATTGATGACGATGATTGATAATGATGATTGATGATGATGGTGATGAGATGATGATGATGATGATAGTGATGATGAGTGTGATGATGATAGTGATGATGATAGTGATGATGATAGTGATGATGATAGTGATGATGATAATGATGATAGTGATGATGATAATGATAATGATAGTGATGACGATAGTGATAATGATACTGATGATGATATATTCTATTTGAAATCTGTTTCTTTTTCTCACACTTACCACTTGTAGTTTCGTTCATTATTTCGGATATATCAAAATAATTCAATCGATCTCTCAGCACAGTGCATAACAGTGAAAATGAACGATTTAAATTATTTTCGATTAGAATTAAAATTATATTATCAAATCGATCATTTATGTGTAATCATCCATTGAACTGATTGTTAATCCATTTCATTCTTCAAATATCAACTTCTCAAATCACTATGATAAACTCATAATCATTCCTATCATAATTCTTTTCAACAATTTTTCTTTTTTCCTATCCTTCGCTACGTTGCATTTTTGAAAATTCATTCCAGTATTTGCCGTTTTATCAGTTACAATACTTTACTGTTACCACCAATTTCAATTTTTCATTCATAAATACCACTTTGTTCCGAGCAATTTCTTCTTTTATAATGCTACTTTCTCATTCTGCACGATTCCAACAGAAAATGAATTAACAATATTGGAAGAATTAATTTTCCTTTTCAAATCATTCTAAATATAACCCTTTCATGCTTGAAAAGCCAAAAATTCCTCCCATCAATCATTCTATTGTGATTCATAATTACCGATCTTACACCTTCCCACATCTTACATGATATAAACACACCTACACATAAACATACACGTATACATGCACACACGTACACACCTATATATACACATATACACACACACGTACGGCACTCACATATACATACACACACATACATATAATATTAAACTTTTTTTCGAAATTCAATTACTTAACGTAGGTTTTGCTTAATTTTCTGATATATTTCTTTTTTTTTGTGGAAAATAAATTTACTTACAGCTTTGGGTATTTGAAATGGTAATTATGATTTGTGAGAATTGAAATTTAAATCTTGAAATTTGAATTATCAAGTCAATAGTAATTAATTCGGTAACAAAAAGTGACCGAAGGAAATTTTCATTTCGAATTTTGCAAAGTCCTAATTTCTAAACAATGAAACCATTCTTCCTGCAAATAGTACCATCTACAAATTCTCATCTTTTTTTCCAACCCTTTTTTTTTATTTTAAAATTTTACAATAAATAATGATCCGTTTCATTTTCTTTTTTTGCTTTAATCTTTCTGTTCTTAATTCTTCGAAAAAAAAACGAGAGAAAAAGTATTTTCATTAAATATTCTCACATCGTAGGAATTATCTCTTTGTTTATCTTTGATGAACTTTGCATTTTTTTTTTCAAACTTATAAAATAACTCTTACTTGTGTGAAAGTTGCCAGCCAAGCGTTATGTATTCGAGATGACTGAAAATGTACGATGATGAGATATATAAAATGAACCATCACAAA